GATTTATAAGCCCCGCCATGGCTACCGTGTCGAGCTCCTCTCTAAGCAGGCCTTTGCGGGCCTATTGCAAGTCTTCTGCCCTGTGGGGCCTACTGGGCCATACGGGCCTACATCCTGGCCCAACTAGAGGTTGGGTTTCTAGTCGTATGCAGGTTGTGCCGGCCCAGTAGGCGGGCTGTTTTTACTTTATTTCAAAAAAAAAACAAAAAAAACCCGGGACTAATTAAAGGTCCCCCAGACCACGGCGTGCCTCGTGCCACATGGTGGGCCTTTGGTCCCGGTTCATGTTGAACCGGGACTAAAGGGGGGGAGACCTTTAGTCCCCACCCTTTAGTGCCAGTTCCAGAACCGGTACTAAAGGTCCTTATGAACCGGTACTAAAATTCATTTTTCTACTAGTGCTAATGTGGCGTAACGCGGGTGGGATCGCCTGGAGTTCGGCAAAGAGAGCGGGGAAGTTGCTATGGTCCCAGCTTCCGCCCACAATCTCGCGGAAACGGCTCCAAAGGAACCGCGCGGACACGCAGGTGAAGAAGATATGGTTCGAATCTTCTTCAGGCCCGCAGAGCGGGCAACGCCCATCCCCAGGGCCATTGCGCTTCAGAACCTTTACGCCTGATGGGAGGCGGCCGCGAATCCATTGTCATAAGAAGATCCTAATTTTCAGGGGGAGGCGGATCTCCCAAATGGAGGAGGGCGCCTCATGGCCAAGCGAGGGGGCAATGGCCAGGTAGAGATATTTGGTGGAGAATTGTCCAGAAGGCTCTAGTCGCCATCTAGCGCGGTCATCGTCCGCCGTGAGATCAGGCTCATGGAGCGCAATACAGTCGAGCAACTCCTGCCAGTCTGCGTTCTCAGCCGGGCCAAAAGGTCTTCGGAACGCGAGTTTCCCCAAGTCAATAAGGGCGGTCGCCACAGAGATCTGCGGGGCAACCGCGATATAGAACAGGTCCGGAAAGCGGGCGGCAAGGGGCGAGTCACCAGTCCATCTATCGAACCAGAACAGAGTGGCGGTGCCGGAACCAATCTAGATCGAGGTCCCGATCTAGAGGACAGGAAGGAGCTGAATGATGGACTACCAGAACTGGGAGCCTCCAG